GTGATTTGGGAGGGAGCAGCCATCTTGTGCTCCGAGGCTGCTCCTGGGCACTTTTCCGACCCCGGCGTTGTCTCCTCCTCGCTGTTGGGGTCTGCTGGCCCCCCTATGGTCGGCACGGGGCGGGGGGCAGCCCGGGTTCTCGGAGATCTGTGGAAAATGGGTGAGCTCTGAGAGCTCCCCCCTCCCCAAAATCCAGCACGCCCCATCTTCAGCTTCATTTTTCGGTCTTTCAGGATGGAGATGCGGGCGGTGGGCAGGGGTTGCTGTGGTAATGGCTCTTCTGGCGGGCTGGGTCTCTGGAACGGAAGATGGGATCGACGAGGGGAGCTGTGGATGTCGTGGGGGTTTGGGTTTTCCTGAAAAATGCTGAATTTCACCGAATCCCATCTTTGCTTTCAGGGCTATTCGGAGTCTCCGGACCTGGAGTTTGAATATGCAGATACCGATAAGTGGGCAGCAGAGCTCTCCGGTAAGGGGCTGGCCTGGATGGATCAATTAATCGGCCATGATTTTCCCTCCTGGTAGTGATTAAAGGAGCTCTCAGCTCCGCTATCGCTCGGTTACTGTCTTTAAACACCTCGTTGATGCTAAAAGGGAAGTGATGTTGTGTAATTAATTATTTTAACCTTAACGCTGGGTGTGTTTTTTGCATTTCCCTCGTCTGCGATAAATCTGCCGTGAACGTGGCTGAGTTGCAGCTTTCTCGGCGCGGGTGGTCGGAGATTTTCCGCTGTGCTCTTTCGGCAGAGCTGTACAGCTACACGGAAGGGCCCGAGTTCCTGCTCAACCGCAAGTGCTTCGAGGAGGACTTCAGGGTCCACGGTAAGACCCCGCTCGTGGACCTCTCGCCCCGCCGGGGAGGGATGGGGATCTCCCGAAGGAGACGCCGGGCTTGATGCCTGAATTCTGCCTCCGAAACCTCCAGCCGTGCGCTGGTGATCTGCACACAGTTTGTGCTGGAGGCCTCGTTAGCGTGCGTGGGCCGGCCCCGCGTTCAGCCCTGGCTGATGTTGGTGTCCGAGGGGGTTCGCCGGCACCGGGACGGCTGTGCTGGGACTTACTGGCAGCAGCGAGAGCGTCCAGCTCACTTCCCATCAGCTGCCGACACGGCGTTCCCTGGGACAGCCCCGTTTGCCGTCGCTTTTGAGCTATTCCAGCGATTTTTGTGTCTGGGACGGGGAGAGGAGCCCTCTGCCCTCAGCCTGCCCGCTTTGGCTTTGCAGTGCGGGACAAGAAATGGACGGAGCTGGACAAGAACCAGCACCGCACTCACGCCATGCGGCTTCTCGACGGGCTGGAGGCCACCGAGCGGGAGAAGAGGCTGAAGGTTGCCCGAGCCATCCTTTACGTCGCCCAAGGTGACAGCGGGCCTCTGCCCTCTTGCTTCCCTCGTTGCTAAATCCAGATAATGGATTGGGGGCTATCAATTTAAAATATTGAAAATCATTTTATTAACCTTACGTTTCTGGTTTCGCCTGGGATGTCTGGAACGAAGCTAATTCTCGTGGGAGCCGGGCAGTTTGTGGGAGTTTGGTCCCAAATTTGGCCGACTCCAGCTTCCCCGTGCTGTCCTGGCTGTGCCAGACCTGGGCTGCGTTACCCACAGGAGGGCTGTTCTGTCCTCTGCATCCGACTTTTTGCCTGAAAATTAAGGCTGTGCCTTTCGTTCCCCCCACGAATGCTCTGGCGGCGTGCGAGGGCCTGGGGATGCCTGTGGACGTGGGAGCCAGCGAGGGTTCGTTGCAGGCACCTTCGGGGAGTGCGGCTCCGAGGCCGAGGTGCAGGCGTGGATGAGGTACAACATCTTCCTCTTGCTGGAAGTGGGGACCTTCAACGCTTTGGTGGAGCTGCTGAACATGGAGATAGAGTGAGTGGCACTGGAGGAACGCGCTTCAGCGGTGGCTCTGGAGCTCCTTGGCAGGAGTTTATCCAGTTTGTGGCAGTCCCATGCCTGGTCTGTCGATCCCTAATCCAATTCCTGCAGCCACCGGAATGACTCCCGTTGTTCTGGGTGGGGATGTAACGTAGGATTACACCCGATTTCTGCAGAAATTCACTATAAGCCATGCTGCCTGGCAGCAAACAGAGATGGGTCGGTTCCTCCTCCCTCGATCGCGCTGTGCACCCGGGACTCGTTGCAGCAGTGTCTATCCCAGGCTTTGGCTCTGGCGCGTGGGTTGCTCGTGGCGGAGTTCAAACGTCTCCCGCGACCCCTCTGAGGCTGTTTTCCCCCCGCAGTAACAGCGCGGCTTGCAGCAGCGCCGTGAGGAAGCCGGCCATCTCCCTGGCTGACAGCACGGACCTGAGGTACGGAGCAGGGCTGGGGAGGAGGGGGATGCTCCGCGGGCGGGGAGCTGGACCCCACGTTTGCTGATTGATCCGGTGGGCTGAGCCGGGCCAGCAGCGCCGGGGGCTGTCCCAGGGCTGTCCCAGGTTCTGCCCCTGTGCTGTGAGCATCCTCAGGTGCACTTGGGTCTGCTCAGCCCATAAATGTCCCTCGTGCTCAGCCTGCACAGCAGGCCTGTGGCTGCTCAGGGACGTGATAGCAGTATAGGAAAGCAATTTTTTTTTTCCCCCGCTTGGACTTATGGAGACCTTTTTCCCCCTTGCCTGAGCGCTGATCCCCTGGTGTGGAGGGGTTGCATGGAGACTGGCTGGGGGGTGGGCTGATCCAGCATGCTCCAGAGCCTCGGGTGCTGATGGTGCCTCCATAACTCGTCCCAACCTCTGGTGATTCGCCTGACCTGCTGCTTTTCGCAGGGTGCTGCTGAACATCATGTACCTGATGGTGGAGACTGTTCGGCAGGAGGCCGAGGGGGACAAGCCCGAGTGGAAGAGCATGAGACAGACCTTCCGAGCAGAGCTGGGTGAGCACCAGGCGCTTGGGGATTGGTGGGCCAGAGGTCTCCGGGGCTGAAGAGCGTGAGGGTGAGGTGGGGTTTGGCTCTAGGCCACAGTTAATAGGGACTGGCAGCGCTGGGTTGGTTTCTTCTGGGCTGAACCTTGCCGGCAGGGCAAAGTGATGAGCAGAGGAAGCCAGAGCGTGTTCTGCTGTCTGGGTGCTCTCTCCTCAGGGGAAAAAATGTGAATATTAAAGCTGTCGTTTCCTCTCAACATAGAGGTGTAAGAAATTAAGGAGGCTATAAGGCTTTGGAAGGGGAGGAGCTGTCTGGGGTGAGATGAGGATCTTGGAGATGGGGAGTGTGAGACTGCAGAGTGTGAGGGTGCAGGGGCTGGTGGTGCTGGCGGCTGGGGTGAGGACGGGGACGAGGAACGCCTGGCTATCGCTGCCGTGTGGTTCCAGGAGCCCCCCTGTACAACAACGAGCCCTTCTCCGTCATGCTCTTTGGGATGGTGACCAAATTCTGCAGCGGCCACGCTCCGCACTTCCCCATGAAGAAGGTGCTGCTCTTGCTCTGGAAGACTGTGCTGGTAAGGAGGGGCCGGGGGGTGTGCCGGCATGCGCCTTGCGGTTTGACATTCAGCAGAGGGAGGAAGTTTTGCCGGCGGGCTGGCTGTAATTGCTCCATCCTCTTTTTCTTGCATTCGGCCGAGTAGTTTGCGCCGTGTTAAGCCCACCCCCGGGGTTCACCCCCTAGAGGAGCGTTGGATATTGGTGTCTGGGGCTGGAGACCAAGGATGGACCCAAACCAAGGTTCCACACCTAGGGTCTGCATGAAAGAGGAGGTCCAGACACTTCAGTTGTGGATGCCTGCACACCCTCCTGTCCCTTCTGCCTCTCACAATGACAGAAGCAGCACGGGGACAGGCAGCTCTTGTTCGACCCCCTGGGGAGGGATCTGGGACTCCCAAAGTGTGGATTTGGGGAGGGCGGGTGGAGAAGCCCCCGGTGCCGTGTGTCAAGGAGTCCCCCATGCTCAGTGACCTCCGCAGCAGCAGAAGCGAGGCCGGCGGGAGCACAAGGTGAGGCCAGCGCTGGGGATGGTGACGTTAACGAGGGGACGGCTGGGGGTCTGCCCACCAGCCTGGGGGCAGCTTGTCCCCAGCGTGCTCACCTGCCTGCTCTTCTCTCTCCAGGCCCTGATTAAGCAGGATAACCTCGACGCCTTCAACGAGCGGGACCCTTACAAAGCTGACGACTCCCGCGAGGAAGAGGAGGAAAATGATGATGACAACAGCCTGGAGGGAGAGACCTTCCCCCTCGAACGGGATGAAGTGATGCCTCCCCCCACCCAGCATCCCCCCAGCGACCGCATCACCTGCCCCAAGGGGCTGCCCTGGGCCCCCAAGGTCCGGTGAGTCGGTGGGGCTGACCTTGGGCCAGGCTGCGGTGAGAGCTGGAGAGGGTTGAGGACAACGAAGGCTGTTAAATATTGAGAGCTTCAGCAGGGGTGTGGGGAATCCCAGAATCCCAGCATGGCAGGGGTTGGCAGGGCCCTCTGTGGGTCACCCAGCCCAACCCCCTGCCCAAGCAGGGTCACCCACAGCAGGCTGCACAGCACCGCGTCCAGGCGGGGCTGGAATATCTCCAGAGAAGGAGACTCCACAGCCTCCCTGGGCAGCCTGGGCCAGGGCTCCGGCACCCTCAGAGGGAAGAAG